TGACTGCATTAAAACAAACTCAAACTGGTTTGTCTTTGCCCTCATTGGAAACTTTTAGGAACGTGGGCGTGAAGAACATTGACAACCACAACTCCTGTTCTTACCTGAGGAAAAAGCCTACTCTTCATAGCACTAATGGCAAATGGCCAATGGCTGACCACTGATGCCAGGCTCATCAGACTATAGCCTTTGTCTTCAGTGGGTACCAGAGCATTTCCTCAGTCTTTCATAGCAACCCTGGCTAATCAGGATCAGATAGGTCTCATAACTGAACACCGCTGTGCTCTGATGTTCTAGTCTGTGTGTACAAGGTATATGGAATGTACATCCTTAAAAACAAACAAACAAACAACAACAACAACAACAACAACAAAAAACCTCTCTGCAGATCAGGCTGGCCTTGAACTCAGAATCCTCTTGCCTCAGTCTTGAGAGTGCTGCTATTGCAAGCATATACTGCTTTTCATGGACCATAAAAAAATATACTGTTTAAAAACATTTTCTGGGCCAGCAAGATGGCTTGGTAGGTAAAGGTGCTTGCTACCAAATCTGACGATTTGAGTTCAAGCCTTGGGTCCAACATAGTGGAAGAAAACCAACTCCTGAAAATTGTCCTCTGATCTCCACACTTGTGCGCCACCCTCTACCCATATAAATGATCACATGTTAAGCAAAATTAAAACAAACGATATGAAAAGAATATTTTTCTGGTAACCAGTAACAGCAATCCATTCAAAGCTGTATTAAGCAAAACTAGGGGGATTACTGTAAGTAATTTTTCGGTTGTAAGGAGCCTGTACTATGTAAAACCAGGAAGTCCTCTCTGTGGTATAGAGACATACATATTTGCTTAATGTATGGCTGTGGTGGGGGGGCAGGTAGAAGAAACCATACAATTTAGACTCTAAGGTCTTTGTTAAGCCTTCAGCCCTGAAATGTATCTCCTTTTTCTTGAACCATAAAAGTAGCCTCAGACGCAGACCTGGCTATAGCCGGTCTAATGAAGAACACTGCAGAACAGTGGATGTTCCGGCTCCCAGCTGTTTTTGTACAGGAATTTCCAGAGCTTCTTGTATCTTTCCAGAGTTTCTTGTATCCTTTACTCTAAAGCCGGAACCATGTGGCCAAAGCTGCCAAGTTGGTCTGCTTGCTGGGGCTGGAACAGAGCCTCCTTGGTCAAATACATTTTCCTTCACTGTTTAAGCTTGGCTGTCCTGGAACTTGCTCTGTAGACCAAGCTGACCCGGAACTCTAGAGATCCACCAGCCTTTGCTCCCTGGGTGCTGGGATTTAAGGTGTGTGCGACCATGCCAACCCCTAAGCTTTTCTTCAATTCTTTTTCATAAGTTGTAAGCTTTGGGTGGGTGAAGGGGAACTTGCCTTGAGGGCACCGCTCCCTTCGTTCCTTTTAGCACCGGGCTTTCCTTTAAACCTTTTGTTTCCGTGAGCACTGGACTTAGCTCGGTTGAACTTCCTGGTGCTCCTGGAGATCTGGGTATAGATCTCTCAGCTCATTCTCTACCACTGTATCTGCCTACATGCCACCAGACTCCTCTCCATGACAATACCAGACTACATCACTGAACCTGTAAGCCAGCCCCAGTAAATGCTTTCCTTTAGAAGAGTTGCCGAGGTCACGGTGTCTCTTCACAGCAATAGAACTCACAGCTCAAACTGCATAGCTTGCTCCTTTCCATTATGGATCCGTCTAAGACTGGCCACTAGTAATCATGTGACTAGGGCTGTTTTGAAATCTCCTCTGCCAATAGCATTAATCCAAAATGCTTCAATTTAGCCTCAGGAAGATTCATTCATTCATTCATTCATTCATTCATTCATTCATTTATTGGAACAAGGGCAGAAAACAGCCACGTTCTTCACCAAAATATCGCAAGTATGATCTCTGGACCACTTATTAATAATATTCTTCTCCTCTGAAACCTCTTGAGCTAGGCCCTCATAATCTACATTGCTCTGTCTTCCATGTACTTAATAGGATGGCCCATTAGGTCCTGCTTAAAATGTTCAATTGCTTTCCAAAGTCCGTATTCTACCAAGAAACCTGGGCAGGCTTGTCATAACAATACCCCACTCCTGGTACCAACTTCTGCCTTAGTCACTGTTTTATTGCTGTGAAGAGATGCCATGACCACAGCAACTCTTCTAAAGGAAAGCATTTGATTGGGGCTGGCTTACAGGTTCAGTGATGTAGTCTATTATGGTCATGGAGGGGAGTCTGGTAGCATGCAGGCAGACATGGAGCTAGAGAATGAGCTGAGAGACTTACATCCAGATCCACAGGCAGCAGGAAGAGAGAGACTCAGGGTCTGGTTTAGGCTCTTGAAATCTCAAAGTTCACCTCCAGTGACACACCTCCTAGTCCCTGTCAAGGAGTGCTATTCGCAATGACCAAGTTCAAACATATGAGCCTCTGGGGGCCATTTCTAGTCAAAACACTAGAGTAACTCCTCTCATTCTCAGACATTGCTAGATCTCACTCTCCAAGACTACAGATGATCTTGTCGTACGTGTGCATGCGGGTCACTGTGGGACTCACGCATGTTAGCATCACTGTCTTCTGTAGACTCATGATACCTGGAGTCTTATGTTGAATAAATTAAAGAGCCGAGCCTCCAAATGTGCATACACCATGTCTTTTTGTTTGTTGTTGTTTTGTTTTTGAGACACGGTTTCTCTGTATAGCCCTGGCTGTCCTGGAACTCACTCTGTAGACCAGGCTAGCCTCAAACTCAGAAATCTGCCTGCCTCTGCCTCCCAAGTGCTGGGATTAAAGGCATGCACCACCACCACCTGGCTATACACCATGTCTTAATCAGGGTTTCTATTCCTACACAAACACCATGACCAAGAAGCAAGTTGGGGAGGAAAGGGTTTACTCAGCTTACACTTCCACATTGCTGTTCATCACCAAAGGAAGTCAGGACTGGAACTCAAGCAGGTCAGGAAGCAGGAACTGATGCAGAGGCCATGGAGGGATGTTACTTACTGGATTGCTTCCCCTGGCTTGCTCAGCTTGTTTTCCTATAGAGCCCCAGACTACCAGCCCAGCGATGGCCCCACCCACAATGGGCCCTCCCACCCTTGATCACTAATTGAGAAAATGCCTTCCAGCTGGATCTCATGGAGGCATTTCCTCAAGGGAGGCTCCTTTCTCTGTGATGACTCCAGCTTGTGTCAAGTTGACATAAAACCAGCCAGTACACACCAAATAGAGCATTCCACCTGTGTGTCAAACATCCCCTCTTCCTACATTTACAGAATTCTCCTCCGCCAGGCAGAGGGCCTGTTTTCAAGACACAGACTACAGAGAAAAGAGAGGAAAGTCTACTTACAGTTCATGTGGAATGTGAGCAGCAAGAGTTAAAGCACAGTTCTCAGCCTGTGGGTCGCAACCCCTTCCGGATCAAACGACCCTTTCACAGGGGTCGCCTAAGACATCACATGTATCTACATTACAGTTCATAACAGTAGCAACATTACAGCTATGAAGTATCAATAGAAATAATTTTATGGTTGGGGAGTCACTACAGTGTGAGGAACTGTATTAAAGGGTCACAGAGTTAGGAAGGTTGAGAATCACTGAAATAAGGTGGTCTGGGATCACAGGTAAAGATGTGAACTCTTAATAGAGGTAGGGCTGGGTGGGGAGCGAGCATCAGAGACAAAGCAACAAAGCCTGGGTTAAGTAATTACCGACTACACATGGTAAAAAGTCTGTGTGTGTGTGTGTGTGTGTGTGTGTGTGTGTGACTGTCTCACAGAAGGTGCAGAGACGAATATAATAAATGTTTCATAGACAACCTAGCATTAAGGAGGGAAGTCAGGAGTCTACAAATGATGAAGGCTCTTTGAAACAAGATGCATTTAATAATTCTTCGGGAACGGATAAGAATTGATGATAAGTTAGCGATGAGTTACTAAATAGTTAATCACTTCTATGTTTCTGTTGGATTGTAAGAGGGTTACATTCACCCGACACTCTGTGGTGAGGTACACTGATTACATATATTAAACCATTTAACTCTCGAAACCTTGATGAGGTAGGCATTCTTATTTCCAATTATCAGGGAGAAGATTGGCGTTATTGGCGATGAACTCACCTAAGGTCATTGAGGTCGGTACGTAGGTGGATGGTCACAGGGACCACACACTTAATTTAGTTTTTATTACCACCTCCTAGGTGTACTCAACACAGAATGACAGCCGCTGCCTCTGAGTATCACAAACATTGGTGGAAATACCGAGGATGACTGCTCACCTCTCCCCTCCCACCCCACGGGGTTACATTTTCAGGGCTTGATTCTGTCTGTACTTTGTTTGTTTTTTCCAACTTGGAAGCCCGAATGTGGGATGGAAGTTTGATAAACAAAACAAAACAATTAAAATAGTTCCCGTAAAAAGATGAGAGAAGGCCTCTGGAAACTGCAAGAGGAAAGATCTGGGTTTTACCAGCTCCACTCCCCCCCACCCCGTCTCCGCGTCCCCCTAACCTCCCACTCCAGCTTCAGGTATCCACGGACGCGGAATCTCAGGTCGGTTCTGCTTGTTCGAACTGCTCAATTCACAATCCATAGCCTCTTTCCATCCCAGGAGAGCTCAGCACCCTCCAAGGCAGCCCCAGGGTTTCCAGCCGGAGTGGTTCCCAGGGAAACCGCCTTGGAGGGACCACGGACTCCGCGCGCCCGGGATAGCCTGCACCGAGCCCCTCCTGGCGCCAGGGGGCGCCGCAGCGCGCGAGCCCCCACCTCACCACTCCTTCCTGGCCCCGCCTCCAGCCCCGCCCTCTCTCCCTGGCCGGTGGGGGGAGGGGGGACGGCCGCTCCCCGCCCGGCGCTCGGCGCAGGCGCAGTCGGCTCTCCCTCCCTCGGCTTCCCTCGCAGTGCGCCCGCCGCGGCGGAGTGGAGCGGCGTCCGTCCGCCGCCGTCCTCCGCGTCTCCGGAGCCGGGCACGCGCACCCTGCGGCTCTGCGAGCGCCGGCGAGCGCGGGCGGCGGCCGCGGCGGGTCCGGCAGGTGAGTGCGGCGGCGGGAGGGAGAGGCGGGCGGCGTGAGCACCGCCCCCTCGGCGCCTCTCCTCGCGCCCTCGTCCCGCCGGCCCCGGAGCGCGGCCGGGCAGGTGCAGGAGGCGACGGGGAGGGCGCGGACACCGCCCGCCCCACTGCGGAGCCCCGGGGACCCGGAGGGCGGCGGCGGCGCTCCCGGCGCTCACCTGGCGGCCCGCGCGGCCTCGGTCGCGGAGTTGCTCAAGTCGCGGGCGGCGCGGTTGGCCGAGGATGTGCGGGGGTCGCCGGTTCCCGGGTTCTCCTCCGCGCTCGGCCCGGCCTGACTTGGGGAGTCCGGACGTCGGGAGTGAGTGGGAGAACACCGGTTTCCCCTCGCTGCGTGGGCCGCTCGCCCCCGCCGCCCGCGGAAAAGCGAGGCTGGGGAGAGGATGGTGCCCGGTGGACGCTGCAGCACGCGAAGAGTTGCCAGTTGTCGGAGATTAAAACATCGATCCGTAATGGCTGGCTGGAGCACTCTGCTCCGAGTTCGAGCCGCTGCCCCAGAGGCGCTTTAGTTTCAAGGAAATGTTGCCTGTTCCCAGCCTACCTGTTTATACACTCCTCAGTGTCCCCCGTGTCAAGGAAAAAGCCCTGTGATTTTTTTTCCCCCTCTGGAATTATTGCATAATTGGAGGAGAGGCCCGATAAGAGGATTAAAACAAACCGTTTCTATTGTAAATCTCTTGAAAGACCCGGTTTCTGTTCATTACACTGTTCTTAAGTTTTGTTTTGTTTGTTTTTTTGCTTGTTTGTTTTTTTAAACAATGAATCGAGAGGGAAAAGGAGGCAGGGTAAGTATGCAGCCCATCGTTGTAAATATTTGATACTGTTAAATATTTCACCAGTTTTATGGGGCCTTGTTCAGTTAGCGTGTGTTATTTATTTACTAGGACGGTGCGTTTTTTTCCAGAGGACTTTTCATGTTTGAATAGACACTGCATTCTGAATCTACTCTTAAAGGCCCCAGGAGAACACATCACAGGAACTTAACAGTTACACGGGTTTACTCAGCAATACATTCTTAACTATAAGAACAGACATCTTTCAACTTTTCTCTCTCTCCGGTCCAACGATGTTTTGAATTAATGCATACTTTTGTGAATGAGCGCGCTTGATGAAACGCTTCATTGTCCTTGTCACATAGCAAGTCATCTGTGCTGTCGAATGAATCTCACCTTCCATGGTCTGGTTGGCGTTCATCTGCCTTGTGGAGTTCTGATGTCTCTGTTTGAATGAAGCTGTACTTTTGAATCGGTGTAATTCTATACTTTGAAACATATTCTTTGCCTCAGATTTTCTTTATGCCTCTACTCTGGATGCGCTACAAATATTTTTTTTTTTTAATGGAAAAATTCCTAGGATTAGGCCGCCCCTCAATTTTACGCCGTGGCAGAATGGAAACTTGGCCATTATTCTTGTATGTATTGTATGAGTTAGGTCAACCTCGCTTCTCTGCTGAGCAGGTGTCACTGGAGACTTAGCTCTAACGAAAACGGCCTGACTTTCAGGACCCTCTCTCAGCAAGCATGCGACCTTCAGTAACTCATTTACTGAGCATACTATGTAGAAACATATTGCAATGTCAGTAGCTGGCCCTTTCCTGTGTTTCACCCCAACATGAACTTGAAAAAGATATGAGTTTAACTAGGCATTCCATTGAGATGTGGGGGAGGGAGGAAGGAAGAAGCGTTAGTCTGGCTGTAGCCTGCGTGGGCACTGTGCCTGGTGTTTGAGGCGACTTTGACTCGTTAGTCCTCAGGCCCTTTTTAGGTTATAGATAGCTTTGTAGTACATAGTTGTCATTTATAGTGACTGATTGAAAAGCTAGTATTAAAAGCTATTTGAGAACCCCAAATGTCGTTTTAAACTCTGTTGTTCCTTAGGCCACTGGTCTGTGCCTTCTTACAAAAGAGCTTTGAGCTAAGAGAGCAGGCCAGTGGAAGGTGGTGTTTGTCTGATCAAAAACCCAAGTGTCTCGATGATGGTGACGTCACTGTTGCCACTGTGAACTGAGTTCGAAGTCCTCATCTAAGTGTGCTCCAGCTCCTTGACCCACACCAACCAAGAGATAGGTCATTTGTATCCCCTTGCCTCTCGGTAGTTGAGGAAATCGATACCTGAGTGGTTGTGTGGCTTAGCCGGGATCATATAGCTGCTTAAGTGACAGGTCGATTAGAAGTCAGGCAGCGTCAGTCACAGGGCTGGCAACCGTCATCAACCCATGGCTTCTTGTGGTGTGGGTTGTGACGCTGGGGTTGTTTGCTCTCAGTCACCATGTCCCACCAGTTCATGCTTGAAGGATTACCTGGTCTTAATTACTGCTCTGCCACTTCATCTTGTAGGTCGTAATGCTGAAAAATTGTTTTTAATCTAGCTTTTATGAGATCGTTATATGAATGTAATATGTAATTCTTATGTCACCAGAGGGTTTTAAATAAAATATTCAGTGAGGAATCTACTTTGCAAGCCAGTAGGGGTTAAAGGAAGCTGTAAAAAGTTGAAGATAGGAACTTATGATGCTCCTATATACTATATAATATGGCCCTCAAAACTTAGAGGGGGCTGGGATACAGCTCAGAGGTAGAGGAGTTTGCTTAGGCTGTGCTGCTTCAAGCTCAGTGTCTAGGATGCAAAACGCAACAGCCTCTGCCAGAATAAAACAGAAGCAATTTAGGAGGATACACACACACACACTATATATACATATATAGTAACACACACTATATATACATATATATAGCATGTGTGTGTGTATATATCTCACACATGTATGCATGTGAAAATCTATGTATACATTTTGTTGAGTATTCAAACAAAGGTCTACGGTACTTGGGTACTGGGGTGGAAGCGGAGATGAATAGTAGGTAGGTACAGGTGTGGGTTAAGGCAGTGACAGAATATATTGTTCAGGAAGATACACTTTAAAGCTAAACATTTGGCCAGTACAATGCAGGCCAACAAATTTTGCTACTGTATCTACTTGATACCTTAAAAGTCAAATCTCAGGGTTTTGGAAAACTCATTTAACTGGTTTCTCCTTTGTTGCAATGCTCTATTTAACTTCCACCCCGTCACGCTAGAGAGGCTTCTGTAGGGTTGGATACATACTTATACGTAATCTTCCTTCCCTTGCTTAGATAATGTTGAAAACTTACTTATACTGTACACCTTCATTTATTAATTTTGATATTTACTCTACATTTATACTTTTTTCTTTTCTTTTTTCTTTTCTTTCTTTGTTTTCGTTTCTTTGAGACTGAGTTTCCATGTGCAGCCTTGGCTGCCCAGGGACTGGCTTTGTAAACCAGGCAGAGAGATCAGCCTGCCTCTGTCTGGTGAGTGCTCGGCTTAAAGTCGTGTGTTGTGTGCTGGATACATGCTTGGAAAGGCCGTTCTGTGAGCTCTTGGACAGCAGGCTTTACTTTATCCTAACTCCATTTAGAGCTTAGCATTGGGCTTGGTACCCGGGAGGGATTGCACTGGATAATCCATTGAAATTGAGCTGACAGCAGAAATTGCCGTGAAGTGTTCAGAATGAGAGTTGAGGGGCCTATGGGGGGGGGGAGGGTGCTTTGGCAGCTCTAATTATCCTGCTGTCTCCCCCCCTCCCACTCCCGTTCTCTCTTTCACCATAGAGCTGAAGGAGGTAGTTACTATACTTAAACTGTATATAGTCCCACGGAGACTGACATCTGGATTTGGAAGCATGGCCCAATAGCTACAGCCACAGACCAAGACGACTTAGAGGAGGAAGAGAGGGGTTAGCAGAATGGCCGGGGTTTGTGAGAGACTTGTTGCTTGTAGTTAACAAAGATCAGCGTTTTAAGTTTTACACTAACTGGGAAAATGGAAATCTTTATTTTTCTGGGCCTAACCTATTTCACTGATGTTACCACAAATGGTAGATTTAATTCATTTTTAATGGTTGAGTAAGACACAGGAAATACTGACTTTAGTAAAATCAGGCTACTGTTTGCTTTACATGTTGTGCGTTATGCAGTCCTGTAAGGGTTGTTGTGGAGAAGGCTCAGTCAGTAAAACGCTTGCCTGCATTTGTTCTCCAGAACCATGTGAAAAACCATGTATTAGATACTTTTATGTTGCTGTGGTACCACAACCAAAGCAGGTTATAGTTGAGTTTACTTTGGATTATAGTTCCAGCAGACTAGGAATTCCTATTGGTAGGGACAGTACGACAGCAGGCACTAGAGCAGGAAGCTGAAATCTCCCATCTTTAACCACAGGCATGAAGCAGAGAGTGTGTACAGGACATAGTGCTCCTGACACTAACCCCCAGTTAAGCACAGTGTCCCCCAAACACCTGAGAACCAAGTGTTCAGATACGAGAGCCTGTGGGGGGGGACATTACTCATTCTAACCATTATAAGCTTGGTCTGGTAGCTGCACTTGGGATCTCAGTGTCAGGGAGGCTGAAATACGCAGATCTCTGAAACTTGCCAAGCAGCCTAGCCTAGCATAATTGATGACCCTTCCTCAAAGCAGGGCGAATGTTGCCTGAGTAGCAACACCAGGGGTATTGTCCTCCAGTCCCTACATGCACAGGGACACACACGTACACACACACACACACACACACACACACACTATGGCAACTCTAAAGGCAAAAAAAAGTCAACAGAGTAGGAAATTCAGGAAGACATGAGGACAGCAACCAAGAAGAGGAGAAGGAGAAAAAGGACACAAAACAGCAGTGACCAGCTTTGGTGTCAACAGCTTCGTTGGAGGAAAGTTCTGTTGGTGTTTTTTAGAAAGTAACAAGAGTTGAGATGTTCCCATTTCTCTCTGTGGACGTCCATCATCTCTTAGGGTTGGTGTGGTCAGAGACCTTAGAAATCTTTGTCCTGGCTTTGTCCTCTGCTCCTGTCTCAGTCAGATTCTCCATTAACTATGTCTTTAATGTAGTGGAGTCAGTTAGGACTTGCATCTTCCTATTTGTTGACTATTGACCTT